AAAAAGAAATATTTGCTCATTGTGTGCTGGTAAAAAGGAGGTTTTTGCTGGTGGAGGTAGGAGTTGGAAAAACAGGAAAAAGTCCTAAAAGAGATAGCTGGAGTAGCAGAGGAAAAGGTGCTAAGTTTTGGGGAAAAAGTTAAGACAGTTTAAAATGTCCTCTATCTCAAGGACTGATGAGTAGAGAGGGAAGTGTTTGCATGGAGAGTAGCGTAGATTACAACAGCAGAAAAGTGCCTCTGCAGGGAGGTGTGGGAGGATGGCCCGGAGAAGAGAAGGGTATAATTCAGATTATTTGAATTTTCTTTTTTTTTTTTGGAGACAGAGTCTGGCTATGTAGTTCATGCTGGCCTTGAATTTACTATGTGGCCTAGGCTGGCCTTGGACTCCTCTTGCCTCAGCCTCCCAAGTGCTGGGATTACAGGTGTGAGCCACCATGTCTGGCTTGAATTATATTCTTTAATTTAACATTGTGAGGGGCTGGGGATTTAGCTCAGTGGCAAAGCGCCTGCCTGGCAAGCACAAGGTCGTGAGTTTGGTTCCCGGTACCGGACAAAAACCAAAAAAAAAAAAATAACATTGTGATGTCACTGGGAGGAGTGCTCAGTGCAGTGTTGTTGTTTTTTTTTTAAAGTTTTACTCAAAACTATATTTTCTCATGTCATTAAGTAACCTTAAAAACATTGAATGGCCGGTGTGGTGGCGCACGCCTATAATCCCAACACTCGGGAGGCTGAGGTAGGAGGATCGTTGCGAGTTTGAGACCAGCCTGGGCTACAAAGTGAGCTCAAGGCCAGCCTGAGCTGCATTTTTTTGTCTCAAAAAGACAAAAAAAAAAAATTGAGTGAAGTTGGGCGTGATAGCGAATGCCTATAATCCCAGCACTCCAGGAGGCTGAGACAGGATGATCACAAGTTCAAGCCCAAACTGGACAATTTGGCTAGATCCTGCCTCAAAATAAAAAGTGAAAAATGTGTGGGGGTGTAGTTCAGTGTACAAGTCCTAGATTTAATCCCTAGTCCTACTCCCATAATTCATGGTATTCCACTGAAAAATAAGCCATGACTTATTTTACTAATGTAATCCTCTATGGTTAGGTCATTCCTAATTTTTTATTATAAATGATTTTGATATTAAAAAAAACAAAAACAAAAAAAAACTAGCAACAATCCTCCTGCTTCAGCCTCCCGAGTGCTGGGATTACAGGCGTGCGCCACCACGCCCAGCTGTGTCTTTGCATCCTTACCAACACTTATCTGTGATTTTTCTTATAATGGGTATGAAGCAGAGCATCATTCTTTGTTTGTTTTGAGATGGGGTCTTGCTGTGTGTTCAGGCTGATCTCTTCAACTCATGGGGTCATGGGCTTCTGTGATCCTCCCGTCTCAGCCTCCAGAGTATCTGGACTACAGACATGCACCCCTATGAATTTTTAGTTTGCACTTCTTTGATAGCTAATGATGTTGAACATCTTTTGATGTCTTCTTAGCCTTGGTACATCTTCTTTAGAAATATCGGTTCAGCTCCATTGCTCATTTTCCAATTGGGTTTTCTGTTTGTTGGTGGTTGTGCATTATTTGGCTAGGAATTCCTTAAGTATCACACAGGGTGGCTTAAACAACAGAGATTGATTTGTCACAGTTACGGAGATGGAAGTTCAAGGGCAGTCGTTTGGCAGGTCTGGTTTATCCTAAGGCCTTCTCTGACAGTCTAGCAGCGCCGCCTTCCTTAGGTTTGTTTGTTTTTTTAGCATCAGGAGTAGAACTCAGGACCTTGCGCTTGCCAGACAGGCGCTGTACCTCGGAGCTATATCCCTGGCCTCTTTCTTAGGTTTTTACAACGATCTCTCTGGCTGGCGGGGGAATGGGAATGGGGCAGGGGAGCAGGGAGACCAGTCAAGAGGACACTGTCTTGGTTCCAGCAGGAGATGGAAAAGGTCCTGGGTGGAAGCAGCGGAGTAGCAGGGAGCTTTTGGGTAGGACAAGCTTTCTGCTTAGCAGGCAGCCCCGAATATGGGGCGAGCTGTGTGCAGAGGTTTCACTGGGATTTCTCCCCTGGGCAGGACTCACAGATTTCAAGCCTGGCTATTGGATTGGCGTCCGCTACGATGAACCCTTAGGGAAAAATGATGGCAGGTAACAGATGTTCCCACTGTGGCATGCTCGCGCACGTGGGTGTGTGTGTGTACGTGTGCACAGCTGTACGTGCCTATGTGTGCCTGTGTGCTGCTGGCTGAGCCTGCCCAGTGGCACATAGAGAGGGAGTCCTGATGGGGTCTTCTGACCACTGTGCCTCCACCTGCCCTGCAGTGTGAATGGGAAACGCTACTTCGAATGCCAGGCCAAGTACGGCGCCTTCGTCAAGCCATCAGTTGTGACAACGGGAGACTTCCCCGAGCAAGACTACGGGTTGGACGAGATGTGACACCCAAGGAAGGCCTCCCTGTTCCAGCTCCTAACTTAGCCACTCATTACCCCTCCCTACGTGTGTGCCCATGGCCATCTTCTCCTGACCCCACTTTAATTTTGTTCATCTTTCCCCTGCCATTGATTTTTTGAGACTCATACATTAAATTCATCAAAAAACCTGGGAAGTACATGGAAGACTCAGTAATTTTAGAAGTGTTGGGGAAGCCAGGCGTGGTGGCACACGCCTGTAATCCCAGCACTCGGGAGGCTGAGGCAGGAGGGTCATTATGAGTTTGTGAACAGCCTGGGCTACAGAGTGAGCTCAAGGCCAGCCTGAACTGCATAGCGAGACCTTGTCTCAAAAAGACAAAAAAGTGTTGGGGGAGCTGGGTCAGTGAAGGTGAAATAGAAGCCTGGGCAAAGTAAAGGGCAGGCAGGTGGAATATTTGTCCTATTTGTGGTAGTTGGAAGCACAGCAGATTGTGCTTTGTCCTTTTCTAATTAACATAAGGTTCCGCTGCTATACCAAAGAGGCCCAAAATACTGTGTTAAACAAGTTGAAAGCTTACTTTTTCGTGTACAGTTCCATGCAGTCACCAAGAGCCAATACAGGACCCCAACATGCAGGGGTTAGTCTCCTTATGTCTGTGGCTCGTCCATCTTCTCCTCATGATGTCCACCTGATCTGCTGCAGCCACCAGGAAGAAAAGAAGGGGATGAGCTTTGTCTTTAAGGAAGATGTACAACTCAAAATTTGCTAGCTGATTGGCGAGAAGTTTGTCACACACCACATATAGCTGTAAAGGAACCTGGAAAGTTAAGTTTTCATTTTGGACAGCCATGTCCTCAACCAGATATCAGAAGTTTCTGTACTATAGAAGTAGAGGAGTGGTGGCGCACTCCTGTAATCCCAGCAGTCGGGAGGCTGAGGCAGGAGGATTGTTGTGAGTTCAAGACCAGCCTAGGCTACAAAGTGAGCTCAAGGCCAGCCTGAACTGCATAGCAGGACCCTGTCTTGAAAAGACCAAAAAAAAAAAAGCTGTTCCTTATAGCATTATAGAGCCTGGCAAAGAACATTTTACCTTCAGGTAAGTCAGTTATGGGTACCAGCCAGGGATGGTGGCACCTGCCTGTTATCGCAGCATTTGGGAGGCCAAGGGAGGAGGACTGCTGTGAGTTCAGGGCCAGCCTGGACTACACAGTGAGACCCCTATCTCAAAACAAAACAAACCAAAAAAAACAAGTGTGCACCCATGTATTCTGGGAAGCCTGAATGGCATCGTGCATGTGTCTGCATGTATAATGATAGTCCCTCCTTAGCTCCTGGAAGGGATTCTTGGTGGGAAGTCTATTTAGGAAACTGCTTAATTGGTGCAATTACTTAATTACAACTTTTAGAGAAGGGGGAAGCAGCAATGTAAACAACTACATTTGAGAGTGAGGTGGCAAGTATTGTGTATGCCTGTAATCCCAGCACGCGAGGCCAAGGTAGGAGGATCGGGAGTTCAAGGGCAGCCTGGGCTACATAGCAACACCGTGTCTCAAAACAGTGAAAAAAGAATGGGATGAAATGCCCAATTGCTGAGAGAATCTCGAGGGAAGTGCTCACTCTGTGCAGTCTGATGTTTTGTATTCTTACAACCACCACATGGACAGGCTTAGATACTCAGAACACCCCACACAGTCACACCCACGCTCAAACACAGCAGACAGCAAAATTCACAGCTGCACTCAGACACGAGAGATCCTCTGCAGAATCGCTGCGCTGGCTCTTGTGTTACATGGGAACCACACACCCACACAGGCTCTCGAGGCTGACATCAGACACCCGCAAGGAACAGATGTGTGGAATACATCTGTGCATCCCCCCCTACACAGTAAAGAAAAGAAAAACCAGTTCATTTAGAAAAGGATGCCAAGGGCCAGGGATATAGCTCAGTGGCACAGTGCCTCCCTGGCAAGCGCAAGGTCATGAGTTCCATTCCAGGTACCAAAAAAAAAAAAAAAAAGGCTGCGAAGGCTTTGACTCCCGCTTTGTCAGAGTTCTCAGAGTGAGGAGGATTAGAGGAGTGTCCCAGACTTCCCAGGCAGCACCTCTTGTGCTAGCTTTCGGTCACTGTGACAAGTACCTGCGGTAAGGGGCCTGGCTCAGTGATGATGTGTAGTACTTGCTGGGTTTGATTCAAGCACTGAAAAAAAGAAAAAGGAGGAGGAAGCTTTATTTTGGCTCACAGTCTCAGAGGTTTCCACCCATGGTCACTTGACCCTGTTGCTTTGGACCTGTGGTGAGGCAGCGCATCACGGCAGGGAGCGTGTGGTGGAGCAAAGCTGTTCTCACCAAAGCAGGGGAAGACAAGAAGGTGGGCACAGTTCCAGTGTCGTCTTCAAGGGCAGCCAGGCCTCATCTAAAAGTTCCACCCCTCCCAATAGCACCTCAGGTTGGTGATTAGGCCTTCAACATAGGAGCCTTTGGGGGACATTTAAGATCCAAACTCACTCAGTTTTTTTGAAACAGGATCTCACTACATAGTTAAGGCTGGCCTCGAGTTTGTGGCAATTCTGCCTTGGCCTCCCAAGTGCTGGAATTACAGGTGTGTGTCACCATACCCAGCAAGATCCAAACTATAACAACCCAATAGCCTAAGTTCAGTCAGAGACTCCAGCAGAATTAGCTTAGCCAGTAAATCAGCGCTGAGGACCCAATTCTGGTCTCAGAGTGCACCATCTTATGGTGAGACTTACGTAGTGAGTTCAAGGCCAGCCTAGACTACATAGCAACAAACTATCTCCAAGGCTGGGTGTGGTGGCGCACTCCTGTAATCCCAGCACTCGGGAGGCTGAGGCAGGAGGATCATTGCAAGTTCAAGACCAGCCTAGGCTACAAAGTGAACACAAGGCCAGCCTGAACTGCAGAGCAAGACCCTGTCTCAAAAAGACGACAAAAAAAAAAAAAAAAAAAAAGGAACTATCTCCAATAATAATGACGGTGATGTAAAACAAAAACCTGCCCTGAAAGTGACTGCATATTTCACTTCTCATTTTGTATGGGTGAGAACTCATCACTCAGGCAACCCCTATAGACACAAAGTGTGCTTTGAACATATTCACAGGCTGTTACTAAAAACAAAAAAAAGACCATAGACTTCGGTGGACCCTGTGCTAGTCACCAGATCCATAACCTTGGCCGTGAGTTTTCTTGCATTGCTTACCCTTGTGCATGCTTTATGGGCACCACCATCCACCACCCTTCCCTCTTTGGTGGGGAGGATGACGGCCATGAATTTAACATACATTTATATATTTATTTAGAGACAGGGTCTTGATACATAATTCAAGCTGGACTTGAGTTCACTATGTAGCCAAGGCCTCAAACTCAAGACTATTCTGCCTCAGCCTCCCAAGTACAGGGGTTTACAGCTAATTTAACTCTTATGAGAATAAAAACCTTGCTAGATTTCATAAATCCTAAATCAGTGCAGGTGGAATGTAGTGAATGTCCAACACTGCTCACATTTTTAAAATTACTTTTTGAGCCTCCCTGTGTGTGTTAGGTCTGACACTGGGAACGTGAATTGGATACACCCTTTGCTTGAGTGTTAAAGGCCAACAAGTAAACAGATAATCACAGAACACTGCTTGGTTGTTTTGGTTATTTTCAGACAGGGTGTCTCGCTAGTAGGCCATGCAGGCCTCAGACTCAATCCGCTTGCCTCATGTTTGTTTGGTACTCCCTGTGTAGTCCAGCCTGCCTTCAACTTGGGGGAATCCTCCTGCCTCAACCTCCTGGGTACTGTGATTACAGGCATGCACCACCATGCCTGATAAGTTTTTTAATGTTATATCCTGTCATTAAAAGATTGTAAAAAAAAAAAAATTGGTGACAAGAGGCAGGGAGGAATAAAATCAGATCAGCCCAGTGATGGCACTTGGATTGTAACATTAGACTAAGAATCACCTGAACAAAAAGGGACAAGGCTTTCTAGGCCTGAAGTTCGACCCTTAAGTGATTCCCACTGATCAAAAACCTGATTCCTGCCAGGGATATAGCTCAGCAGCACATCGCCTGCCTGGCAAGCAAAGGTCCTGAGTTCGATTTCCAGTACCAAAAAAAACCCTGTTTCCTGTGCTAAACAATACTGATTTTATACTGCTTTGTATGCCAATTACAAACTTGGGCTAAAAGAGAAGTTAATAGCTTTAGTGAGGAAGAACACCTGACTCTGAAGAGGAAGAGCCCATATTCAAACACCAGCTCTCTTTGACCATCTAAGTGACTGAACAGGTAGGTATTCCTCCCCTCTAGGTTTCAGCTTTCTTATAAAGTGGGTGATGGAGCCAGTATGGTGACACTTACATGAGGCTGAGGCAGGCTGATCCTCGTGAGTTCGAGCCAGCATGACTAGATAGTGAGATAGTGTCTCAAAAAACACAAACAAACAAAAAAAAAAAAAACAACTGGTGATGTAGCTCAGTGTGAAGGCCCTGGGCTTAATCCCAAATATGGGGGAGAGGGAGATATTACTTGCCCATAGATAAATGTTTACTCATTATTAGCTGTAGGTACAAATATATATATATAATATTCCAGTTTTTGTGCTGGTGTCATTTAATCTTCACAGTGACACTATTTCTTTACTGTTTCCTGTCCCCAACCTATTCCATCCTCTAGGTGGGTTCAACCTCTATGGAAAGCATTCCCACGGGTCTCCAAGACTCCCAAGTTCCGGCAACCCATGTCCCCAGCCTTGGTCATAACCACTCAACTGTCACCAGAGGGCAACAGCGAACAGTTCTGCCCATGTGCGCACGCGCAATGCATGGGGTGGGGCGGGGAACGCTTGTGGTTTAAATTTAGCGAGCGAACTTCATTTCCCAGAAAGCTATGCGATTCTTCCGCTTTATCTGAGTATCCCCCAACTCCCGGCGGCGCGGGGGATTGTGGGATGAGGAGGTTTGGGAGTGGGTTATGCTGGGGATGGTCCTGCGCAGGCGCCCTCTAGCCACACGCGTTTAGTGACTCGAAGGTCACGCTAGAGCTGACTTTCTGGCCTCAGTGGGAGAAGGAGATGATTTCGCTTAGCCTTGAGCATGCTAGGCCACCTTCCCGCCCTCCCGCTTTCAGGCATCACAACCGGTCGCTTTCCCAGGTTTCTTGTTACTCTCAAGCCAGCTCAAGATGCAAGACTATTCTGTCGTCAAGAAAAAAAGCCCCTTCCATCTCTTAACCCCATCTGTACAGGCCCTTCACATACAGCTATCCGCCGCCCTTTTTCTTCTTCTTTTTTTTTTTTTTTTTTTTGAGACAGGGTCTCACTATGCAGTTCAGGCTGGCCTTGAGCTCACTTTGTAGCCCAGGCTGGCCTCAACTCTCAATGATCCTCCTGCCTCAGCCTCCAGAGTGCTGGGATTACAGGCTTGCGACACCTCACCTGGGGCTTCTTTTTCTTTTTGTTATTTTTAACTTGAGATAAGACCTTGCTAAATTCCTCAGTCTGGTCTCAAATTTGCCATGCTCCTGCCACAGCCTCTCAGAGCTGATAATGAGTAAGCATTTACCTGTGGGCCAGGAACAAGCCCTACTCAGGTGACTGAGCCCAGGGCCTTCGCGCTGAGCTGCATCCCCGACCCTGGGATTATAGGCCTGTGCCCCATACCCTACCTTCCTCTTTCTTCTCTTCATAGTCAAGATTTTTCAAAACTACTTACTAAGGGAGTTCAAGATTAGAACAATATAAGGATCTCCAAAATATCCACAACCCAGTTTGAGTAATTTTCAACATATTGTCAATCTTGTTTTGTTCACTGTGAGTGGTACTAGGGAGTGAACACAGGGTTTTTGCCCTGAACTGCATCCCCAGGCCATTTTCTATTTTGAAACAGGTTCTAGCTAAAGCCCAGGCTAGCCTCAAATTTTTTTTTGGGGGGGGGGTTTGAGATAGGGTCCCCGCTATGCAGTTCAGGCTGACCTTGAACTCACTTTGTAGTCCAGGCTGGTCTTGAACTCGCAAGGATCCTCCTGCCTCAGCTTCCCGAGTGCTGGGATTATTATACCAGGCTCTTTGGTGGTTTTGGTTTTGAGGGGGCGGTTAGGACATCTTTGCAATACATAGTGATTCATTCCTCCTGGGGAGTTGGTACATGTACACAACACATCTGAATCCCTTTTTCATCCCTCCTTCTTGCATCCTCTTCCCTTTTGCAAAAGATCTATCTTCCTATTTTCTATTATCTTTTTGCTTCCTGGGTTTGTTTCGTTTTGTTTATTGAGACAAGGTCTCGCTATGTAGTGCAGGCTGGCCTTGAACTTGCTGTGTAGCCCAAGCTGGCCTCAAATTCACAGTGATCCTCCTGCCTCAGCCTCCCGAGTGCTGGGAAGACAGGTGTATGCCACCATGTCTGGCTTTGCTATTTATTTATATTTTGGGTTTCTCCTTTAAGAGATGCCAGGTGATTTTTTTTAAGAGCATAAGACTAATTTTGTCATTGAGGCTCAGAAACTTGGGTCTGTAAGATCTATATTTATTCTTTAGTACATACACACACACACACACACACACATATATATATATATATATACCCATTTTATTTTGAGACAGTCTCACTATGGAGTTCAGCCTGGTCTTGAACTTACTATGTAGCCCAGGCTGGTCTCAAACTCACAGCACCACTCCTGCTTCAGTCTCCCAAATGCTGGGATGACAGGCGTGCTGCACACCTGGCATCTTTAGAATATTTCTATTGATGAATTATTAACTTGAATTTTGTGAGTTTTATTATATTAAACAATGAGTACTTAACAGGAAAATGTCAAAATAAAGTATTGTGTTTTTAATATTTATTGAATGTTTATTAAAAAAAGGATAAAAAATTTTCAACAACTGCTTTTTGGTGAATGAAGTCTAAAAAAAATCAGAGCTGGGCATGGTGCACAACCCATAATCCCAGCACTCAGGAGGCTGAGGCAGGAGGATGGTTGCAAGTTTAAAACCAGCCAGAGCTACAAAGTGAGCTCAAGGCTGGTCTGAACTGCATAGTGAGACCCGGTCTCAAAAAGACAAATAAATAAATAAACAAACATAAAAAAAAGAAATAAATTCCTATATAAACTACTATGAAAATACCAATAGCATTCTACAAAAAAAAATCTTTACTTCCGTTATCACACCTAAGGCAGTCTGCACACATGATAATAGCACATTCCATACACATGCATCACTGACACTGACAGCACATGTCTTTTGCTTTCCTGGCCTTTCTGGAAAACATACTTGACATCTCAGTGGTCTTGCTACTTTGTCATGAGGTTCTTCTTCTACAGTGCATGGTTAATAGGAACATAAAATATCAATAAAATTAGTAAGTTTTTAAAATGTCCTGTGCATTTAGAATAGACATCAACGTTTTCACATCAGCTGTGTACTTATAAAACCTAAAAGATAACATCAAAAATAAATTCCTATATGAACTACAATGCAAATACCAATAAAAGCTGGATGTGGTGGCTCATCCCAGCACTAGGGAGGCTGAGACAAGTGGATCCCCAAGAGTACAAAGCCAATTGAGTCTATATAGTGAGTTCAAGTCCAGCCTGAACTGCATAGTGAGATCCTATCTCAAAAAAAAAAAAAAGCAAACCTAGGGGCTGGGGATATAGCTCAGCGGCACAGTGCCTGCCTTGCAAGCTCGAGGTCATGAGTTTGATTCCCACCAAAAAAAAAAAAAAAAAACTAAATAAGTAAAATACCAATACAACTCTACCACAAAAATAGGCTTTGCTAGGCCAGGTGTGGTGGTGCACACCTGTAATCCCAGTACTTGGGAAGCTGAAGCAGGAGGATCATTGCGAGTTCGAGAGCAGCTTAGGCTACAAAGTGAGTTCAAGTCCAGCCTGAATTGCAGAGCGGGGCTGAGGATTTAGCTCAGCGGCAA